CCCCCTGCTGGTCCAACCGCTCAGATATAACATCCGTGTTGCACACTTTAAAGGGGGCCTCTGCCCGTACTCTACGGTTCCCCTGTTCCACTACATCACGGAATCTATAAGGCTGATTTCTACTCTGCGCTGTCGCATGAACTGTTAAAATTTTGTTAATCGTCGTGTTGAGGATGGTACACTATTTTTGACGATCTCTGATGTTGCTTTTAATTTTCAATACAGGTCGCATTGATACAGTGTTTTGTTCTGAACCAATGTGTCTTTTTATACCTTGGAATCCTGAGACTTAACAGATTGTTAAGGTTCTTCCATTTAGAAATTATTTCTTTTAATGTACATTATAATTTTGTGGTTAGATTTTTATCTATTTTCTGATTTACGAAAACTATATTTATCGTAATTGTCATGCGAAGATGCTAATCTTCTTATTATTACTCCATTTTTGAGTAATGGAATTCATAATTGCTTTGTTTATTGCTTACTTATTTTTATCCCTTTGAGTACTATTATTATATTAACGCTGTTTTCTGTATTTAGGTTATTAATTTTAGAACTACTAGCATGTCTCAAAAATACTTTCTTATTGGATATGACGGTGCTTCTTTTTTATTTTAAAAAAATGGTCATCTTACATATCACTAATTTTTAAAAAGGTTAGCTGTCAATTAGTAAATTTTGTGTATGAACTTGATCTTTTTTATATATATTTACCATGTGTTTTCTTTTACTTTTTCATTTATTTACTATTGTTACTTTTCATAACATCAAATTTATTCTTTATATTTGTGTTAAATGGATTTTAATGACGGAAATAACTATATTACTCATAATGTATGCATTAATTTATAAACCAAAAAAACTGTTTGACATATCGCACTTAAAGCAAGATCCTATACCAAACATTGTAAATTTACTCACCAGCTTTTCTTTCAATGACTTGCATTCTTTTTAACCACAAAAATAGTGTGTTTACCCCATCGTGACATTTTAATTTTTAAATATTGTGCGTGTTTGTATAGTTTTATCTCCCTATTACTTGTAAAGCCTAAAAGTAAAGAAGTGTAAATTCTAACTCCATAAAAGTTATCAGTCTTACAACGCTCTATACAACACCATGGTATTTAAGATACATCGTGTAGAACTAGAAAACTTTAAAAGCTATGCAGGGAAAGTGTGTATAGGACCTTTTAAAGACTTCACCTGCATCGTTGGTCCAAATGGCGCTGGCAAATCCAATCTTATGGATGCACTTAGCTTTGTTTTGAGTTCCACCAGTTTGGATGCGAGACGTAGCAAGCATCCATCCGATCTCATCAACCACAAATCTAAGAAAAGGGGGTGTACTGTGACTATCGTGTTACATAAGAAGGAAGACCCAAGTGTCAGCTGTGGCAGCTATCAACGACAGCGTGCGCTTGAATCTGCAATCTCCGAGATTGCGTTCACACGCTCCATTACAGAGGCTGGCACAGAGCAATTTGCTATTGATTACCAGGCAGTGTCCGAAGAATGCTTTTCAAAGCAGCTGAAAGTACATCAAATTGGGTCTTGTGTAAATACTTTTCTAGTTTTTCAGCATGAGGTTGAAACAATTGCACGAATGAAAGGCAAGGAGCTCACCCAGCTCCTTGACCAAGTGAGCGAAAGTGGCGAACTTAAGCAAGAGTACGACTCAAAAAAAAAGCCATGGAAGTGGCCAATAATGGTTTATTGAGCGCATCGATTGAAAAACGTGGTGCAGTGATTGCAGCCAACCAAATGCGAATTGCCATGAGGGAGACCGAGCATTTTGAAAAGATGCGCCATCTTTACGAAGAAGGACGCCGCGATCTAGCGCTCACCGAACTTTTCGAAGTGGAGCTAGAGCTAGGTAAGCAAAAAGATGAACTGGACCACTTCAACAAAACCCTACAACTGCTTCAGAAGGGTGTAACAACCGAAAGGGAGATACGGGACATGAAACGCAAATATGCTGAAAGACACAAAAGTTATCTTGAAGAGCTCAGAACCAATCGCAGACTGGCTGATGATCTCCGCACTAAAACAACTTTAACAGACCGTATGAAGGTCGCACTGACCCATCTCGGTAGAAAATATGAGCTACAAAAGTCTGAGCTGACGTCGTTGCTAAGGGTTGATGCTGTTCACACAAATGAAATAAAGCGCCTACAGAGTGAACTCCAGAGACAGCAAACAGTTTTACACAATTTTGAGGAAACATGCACCAAGGAAGATGGAGAGAACACCTTGGTGCAGGATTCCATCAAGAGCAAGTGCATAGTTGAATATCGCCGCCTTCGTAAAGAGGCAGATTGTGAAACAGTGACGCTGCGTCAACATGTGAAAACCATCAGACGGCATCATGATTCTATTCAAGAGGCCCTAAGGCAATGTCAAATGACAAGGGAAACCATGGAGCTTCAGCGAAAAGACCTTGAACTGAATCATGAGCGCGCAATGGTAACTCGTGCGCAGCTCCGGCAGCGAGGAAAGGATCTGGATCAGTCAATCATAATTCTCGAAAAACGGATGGACGAAACCCGCAAAGCCCTAAAGCTAACACAAAAAAAAAACATTGAACGTGAGATCGAACTGGCTAAGATACAGGAACAATTGCACGAGTTCCACTATGTGAGGGACACAAGCAAGCATCAGAATCGGATGAATGAAGCGTTGCAGGCCTTACGCTCACTCTTTCCAATCCGAGGCCGCTTAGTGGAACTTTGCGACATCCCAAACACACGGTATCGCAATGCTGTCACAGTGGCTATGGGCAAAAATCTAGAGGCAGTCATCGTTAACACTTCAGACATTGCCATCTCGTGTGTGGGATATTTGAAGGAACAACGCATGCCACCGATGATCTTTCTTCCGCTAGACAGTGTTCAGGGCGATTTAGTCGACGACCGCTTTTGCACGTTTGGTGGGACTTGCAAGCCTATCATAAACATTGTACACTGTGAAGCCGGGGTAGAACCTGCGCTGCGGTTCGTCCTTGGACGAACTCTTGTATGTGACTCTCTGGAAGAGGCAAAGAGAGTCGCATACGGCAGTTCAGACGGCGAGCGATTCAAAGTAGTTACGCTTGAAGGAACAATGCTTCTCAAGAATGGGGTGGTACAAGGCGGTCTGGCCGCCATTCAAACGCGTGCTAATAAATGGGATGAAAAGAAATACACTGACCTCCGTGTGGCGTACGAACGTCTCCTCGATGGGGCAACAAGTGGAAGCGAGGCGGAGCTGGCACGGACGTATATTACAATTCGAGACATGGAATTGCGCCTGCAGTTTACGCAGAAACGCATTCAAGTAGTGAACGCTGAAAAGGATATTATTGAAGCCAAGTTGCAGAATCTACTGGAAGAAATTAAAAAACTATCTGATACAGAACAATCACTTGAAGCGCGTGAAACACATCTTAAACAGGAGTTGGAAAATGTTGGCAAAGAAATGTTGAAAACATCACAGGTCATTGCTAAAGTGGAGGGTCGCGTCTTTTCAGAGTTTCAAAAAAAAAACAGTATTCCTAACATTCGGCAGTTTGAAGACGGGCATGCAGAACTTGAAAAGCAACGGGCAGATCACCGACGGCAGCTCCAGCTCCTCATTCATAAGCTGAAGCAAGCAATCGAGGTGGAGGAGAGTCGACTCAATAATCATTTGCTCGCCGACACAAAGCAAGCTTGTGAACGGCTGGTGAAGGAAATGGCAGAGCGTGATAAAAATTTTATTACTCACCAAAATAGCCTTGACGCCTCTGAGAAGGCGTATAAGCGCATTAAACTGGCAGCACACAAATCTAGCGAGGATCTAGAGACGCTGGCCAATGAAATTCGAAAGGTCATGGCAAACTCAGAGACTATGTTGAATCGTTTGGCTCATGCCCGCAAGGGCGTCACTGCACTGCAGGCAGCATGCAACACGCTGCGTTTGCGTCGGGTTAATATGGTGCAACGTTGCCAGATGGATGGAATAGAGCTTTTGTTAAAGACAGAAGCTAGTATCGACTCCAAACGGGAGCACCCAAAGATCGCTACTTGTGGTAGCAACGAAGGGCGAATGCAACATCTCATGCAATCGGAGTTGTTCACACTACTAACCAGCTTACCGGGTAACTGCAACTCCAACGGTAGTGATGATCCAGAAACAAAGGTATATATCGACTTTAGCGGTCTATCATCCGCTCTACGGGAGATTGCAGCTGATAGATCTAGCTTTTCTTCTTACAAAGAACGCATAGAAGCTTCAATTGAAAATGCATCTATAGAAATGGAGGCTCTTGCGCCGAACATGAGAGCCGCATCACTTCATGTGACGTCTGCGGATCGTCTCGGGGCCTCCTCCACAGTGTTGGAAGCAGCACGTGAGCAAGTACGAAAGGCGTACGCGGACTTTTTACGGGTAAAGGAGATGCGCACCGCAAGATTCATGGAAGCATTTGGGAAAATTACAGCCAGCGTTGATCAGATATATCGAGAACTCACGCTCAGCACCAAGACCCATGGTGTGTGTGGGTCCGCGTATCTAAGCCTTGAAAATATAGAGGAGCCGTATTTGGGAAGCACTGTATATCATGCCACGCCGCCACTGAAGCACTTCATGCCGATGGAGCTTCTCTCTGGTGGAGAACGCACAATGGCTGCTTTGGCATTGCTCTTTGCAATTAATGATGTTTCAGCAACACCATTTTTTATTTTGGACGAAGTTGATGCTGCACTTGATGCTGTAAATGTCGGGAATCTAGCGAACTTTCTGCGTAATAAAAGTTCTACCTGTCAATATGTGGTAGTATCATTAAAAGATCAACTCTATCACATGTCCGATTTCCTTATCGGCGTTTTGAAGGACAAAGAAAAGAGCACCTCGAGGGTATTAACAATGGACTTGGGAGGTTTTCCTTATTAACAACATCTGTAATTGATGGAAACCACTGTAGTATGGACTCTAGTGGTAATTATTATCAGAATGTCATTATCAACGAGATATACCTATATTTGTATAGAAGTATAGAAATCATTTCAATAGAGTAATAATAACCGATTATCTATGGATTAAGAGGGTCTGTATGGTATGCAGAACTGAAGCAAGAAAACAAGATACAAAAATGCCTTACTTTTCCTAGCCTTGGACCATGTGATGTGGAGGGGAAGAAAGATAAAGGTCGGGAATAGGTCCTGAAAAAAAAGAAGACAAATGGTGCAAAAAAAAGTTTCTTTATCAATCATGCAAATGTTTTCCCTGGTGCAATTTATTTAGTTTTAGAAACTTAGGTTATTGTAAGGGATATTTTTTCCTCATAGGCATCACTGCATCTTTTTTTTCCCATTATTATTTTCAAAATAATGGGGGGTAGCAATTCCAAAAGTTATTGGGAGAGGGACGAAGATGCGCTCAATTGTAATGCGTGTGGCGACACTTTTGCGCTTACGTTACGCAAGCACCACTGCCGAAATTGTGGATATATTTTTTGTAGAAAATGTTCACGCGGTCGATGTCCTATTACTATTCGATGTATGAAGGACCCGGTTCGTGTGTGCGACGCATGCTATCGCACATTAACAGGCCAAGATAACATTGCACGTGAGACTTCTGTTTTGTCGGCTGACAGTGAAACACCCAGAGTTATAGACGAACCAGGAAATGCTTCGCTGTGGCTAAAGAGCAACGACAACTATAAAAACATAAATGCAAGCCGAACCGCCGTTGGACCAGCAGGGCAAAACAGCAGTAATAATGCGTGCACCACGGATGTTGTGCATCTCTCTGGTAAAGAGCAAACAGCAGAGGATGAAGTGTATCGGCAAGATCTCTATAGCAACTACAACGCTTTTAATCTTCATCATACCCCCTCCGCTCAGGAATGGACCAGTATGTCTAAGACCATGGAACAGCTTGAGCTCGAGACACTAATTCGACGATGGGCTACCGTGCGACAGCAAACACGTTTTTTGGATGTGTCAATGCAACACGCTGAACGTGTGGAACCTGATACTTCAGTAGAGTACAGCCGGGAAACTGAAAACATTACGCTGCAACCAGAGATTCCACATCATGCCCTTGCGTGCAGCTTGCTACCTTATCCAAAGGCTGCCAAGGAAGGTATTCTACTTCTTCTTGGATCCGTAAAACCTATGCATGTTAGTTTATTATCCAACAATATCCTGATAGAGAATGCTGCCGCCTCTATAGCTCAGCGGCTTACTTCCGCACACGTTTTCCAGAGTGAAATAAGACCTATATCAAATTCAGAATTTTCAGAAAGTTGAAGTAGTGAAGAGAATTTTTTTTTGTGATTTGCTTTTCTTGAATAGATCTCTTAAAGGATGTTGTATTATTTTATTGGCAAACAAGTTTCATAATGCTGATAAGTTGATAAATAATGATATATCTATGTCTATAGATATGACTATAATGAGCCCATTCAGTAATCCACCAAAAATTTCATTTATTTAAACATAGAAATTTATGATGAGGCACTTTTTTGCTTTGAGAAGGCAATATCGGCCATACTACAATCTTCCCTCAAAATCAGAGAATGGCCGCAAAATGACCGGTTTTCTCACCCCATACCGTCATTGGATGTGGAAACAGAATGAGCTTTGGCGCAATGTGCATGAGGCGCAGTTTGAGCATCTTCGCAAAGTCCACAAGCGTCAATGGTTGGAATCTTTCCGTGTCAACGCGAATGAATACATATATAAGTACAACATTACTAAGGCCGCACAGTTAGCGCAGTGGGAATTTGAGATGCAAACGCAAGAAAACAAACGAATAGAGAACCAGCAGCTGTCACATGGTAGACAAGCACTTAAGAAAAAGCACTTGGATCTGTTACGCGAGTTTTACGAGCGGCAATTCTTCTACTGGTATGAACGCGCAAGCGAGCGACTCCAGTATATGGAGCACATTAACTACGTTCCTCAGGCTAATTTTATTGAGCATCTTGAGTGTGAATTGGACAAATACGTGGCAGGGTCTAAATTTTCATACCCCCTCAATTTTGCAGGGCAGCTGCCATTGTTAGAAGATCGAGCAGGCAACATTACCCAAATTCCGGCTACGCTGATGCCATATCACGCCACTGAAAACCAGGACTCGGGGGCAACAATGTATCAGCCTCCACAAAGCACCAAGGTTAACGAAGTGCGCTTGTTGGAATTGATGGCAAGCGCACATGAAGAAGACATGCAATTGCAAGCAGATGAGTCTCAGGCATTTTCAACCGCTATGGGGGACATAGACCGAGAAGAGGAAGAAAAAGAATTTGATCGAAAGGTCGCTCCAAGCATGGAGGAGAGTTATGAAGAACGGGAAACAAACCGGCGGGCCTACATTGACCGTGGTAAGATCGGCTCAAAATTGATCATTCGTCGTCCTCGCTTAGATGATGATACAGGTAAACTCCCTACGCCGAGTTCAACTCCAATGAAGCGGCAAAGTAAAAATGACAAAGTGCATTCGATGCAGGCAAAACAGGATGCAATTAGTACGCAGCTTCAGAAAAGGTTTCTTAAGCCAGGTATTGATTTAAGCAATATGCCTAAACGTGGCGAAATAGGAGAGCATAGGGGCCGAATTCGTGACAAGATACAGGCCCCCACGCTGGATGAGCTATCTAAAAACCCTATATTGCAGAAGACCAATACCTTGGGTCGGATCGTTCGCACTCAAGATTCCCTGGACAAGCGGTACGGGCGTGGGAAATACAAAACATCGAAACCCAATTCGGGAGAGGATCTGTAAGAAAAATATCCAGCATGATATTAAACGATCATTATGAAAATGACACGTAAGAGAAAAGCACCCAAACTTAAGATATACAACGAAGAGTTCACAATGTAACAATCCACTTTTTACCCTTAGATCTTTTTCATTTAATCTTAACAGCTATCGCCGAGGCAAGACGTCTCTACTTGCTAAAAGTTATAAATAAGCTTACATGTTTGCTTCCTTACCTTGATACATATTGGTGAGTCATTTAAAGAAAAGGTCAATAGAAAACGCTTGCAACTTTTAAGAACAGTAAAATGAAAAAGACTTTTTGTCTGCAAGTATTTATCAAAAGACTCCATAGCCTGATTCCCAGGGTCACTAAAGATTGTGAAGATGGGATTCAGATCATATTCCTTGATTTCCCAGAAATAACTATAAAGCCACAACATATTGATCCATTCAACTCCATGAAGGTGGGAATTTCTTTCACGTTCAACACATGTCATATAGCGGAGTTTTTATACGATGACGACAAGTTAATGCGCTCATTCCCTACGCGGTGCAACTGTAAGTTCAAGGGTAATGATAATATTCGTTGGAAGTGTATGTGTCAAATGATTCAGAAAGAAATTCCTGCAGCATACGCAACGTGTCCAATAAAGGATCAAATCACTGGTAAAACTGTAGGATATGTCGAAATGACTTGTCGGGTGTTCGCTAAGGACGTGCCAAAAGAAAGAAGTCTAAATCCAACGGACCATGAATTAGTTACACCTGTCAAAGTTCAAAGTAAGCCCTATATCGTGCGTGTTATTGTGAATAGAGTTGGGGAGAAAAAGACTGCTCTAGATCTAGTGGAAAAGGAATCACCATCACATACGAAAAATCCTTCACATAGCCACCAAAGTGATGTCGACTGCGTAGCTAAGGTAAATACTCTATTGTGCACATTGAGATACAATGTGGCATACCAACTGCAGTCCATAAGCGAATTTATTTCAAGAGCACTCAAACACGATCATGAATGTCTTAATAAGGTTCAACTAAGTAGAAACTCCAAGGACTTAGAATCAGACATTACAAAGAGTGTTGAATACATTGTAAAGCTATGCAACATTGTTCTGCAAATTTCAAACCAACTTGCAGAAAATGGGAACGCTTTAGAAACAACAGAACATTTTCCAGTAGAGATCGAGACCGCATTAAGAAGGAATCCTGTTAACAAGCTCCCCGTACCAACCAAAGGCAGCGTAGCACACTTTGCAATGTACGAAGTTCTTTTCCAACTGCAATATGTTGGAGCGAATCTATCGTACGTTACCTTGGCCTATCATAAAGCTTTAGAGATTCCCTTGGATACTCTATCAAAACAAGATCAAACATTTTGCCATGAGCTCGATCACACTATACAGATACTTAATAAGCAATTAAATATTCTTATTCAATCCACCGTGGATGGCCGACTTGAATCAACGACCTTTGCTTTGCCTGCAGTAGGCAAAAAGAACTCAAATGCTGGTTCCAGCTCCAATATATATTCATCCTCGGATTTTTCTAAGTCATCATCCAGGCGGTATAGTTCGTTTGATAAATCTTCGCTCAGAAGCACAAGCAAATCAGAAGAAAGTTCGTCAACTTCACTATCCATGCAAACTACAGTCACACAGCGAGTCTCTTCGACACCGGTGCAAACTCAAAAGACGTCCATTGCCGCTGAGGTCTTTACCTCATCAGCAGCCCTAAAGGCAGCTGAGCTACAAGTATGTCAACTTTCTGACTCATTGGTGCCAAATGCGCTTCCGTTGAGTATACCTAACACACCCTCTGTAATGCAAACCTCTATCTCACAAACACGACCTTCAGAACCTGTTAATATACCCACCCTTCTCCCGTCTCCCTTCACAATCGCCACAGTGGTTGAGTCACTGGTACAAAAGACTGCAACAACTGCATCATTTTTGGATGTTGTGCCAGTTTCCCCTTTCTCGCCAACGCAGTTCGAACAAGGACTTCCTCGACAAAACCCATCAATGACTTCAATCCCAGTGTCTGTCCCTATTCCCCATCCAGGAGGCTTTCCCCTCTCGGCTGGTGCGCGTTGGCCTAGTGCGGCCACGCTGCCCTCGAGGTCAACAGATAGCTCGCATTCAGATTCGGTCTCTACCAGTATTGACTAATCAAAAAAACTCTTTCGTTGTTATTTTTATAGATTTTTCAATAATAATGATAAAAATGGCATCATTTATACTATCAGTAAACATGCTTGATATTCACAATCTATAAATAATTGAAAAATTATTCGTATGCGGTCCCTCAACAATCTCATTTAGTCAAGGATGTTTTTTAGTGTCTTCGGCGATTTTACGCACACACATCTGCAGCCACCAGGGAATAGGTTGTGGCCCCACATCGCAAACCCGTTGCAAGTAGAACCTCGACCTCTTACAAGACCCGAAAAAAATCCAGAAAACTGTTCTGTGGGATATTTCAAAGGTCAGTGGTAACCCCAATGAAGAAGCGGCACCCCATTTCATTTCCTCAACGCTGCTGCTGCCACATCTGTTTCGCGGAGATCGGATGGAAATGGACACGTGGCGGGCATAAAAAAAAGCAGGGCCCCCCAACCACCGAAGAAATGGTAATTCTCAGATAAAACACAAAAAGAAAAAAAGAATGCTATGGTGAAAAAAACGACAGCACAGCACTACTGCGAGGCGGTGTGGCCATAATTCTTCGGACCAATTTGCCCATGAGAACAGCTAATGAGGTGAAAACCAACACACAGAGCCAAAACACCGGTAGTGCTTTGAAAAAAGAACTCTGTAGAAAGCAATTTTAGATGATCATCTTTTTTTTGATAGTTTGCAATAAAAGTCAAAAGTGCATAGTTAAATATTAGTGTTGTATTTTCTGATATTAATCTAAAACATTGTGCCTTCGTATGCGAGATACTAAAACTATATAAGTCGGAGGGACAAATGTGTTAAGATTAAATTATGACAACTTGTATCGCGTGCCACAAGCCTAGCTGTAGAAGTTTATTTACTAAAATATTATTAATGATACTTATTTTTTAAAAAATTTAAGCTGCGCAACTGGATCGTTTTTTAAGTTTCCCTGCAATAACCTTTTGTAGATTTAATATCATGATGGTTTCTTTCGAATTACACCACCATAACTCGTCATTGGCTTCTAAAATGGATTAAAATGCTGACAGCATCGCAACAATGCTGCCTTTGCATCTCAGTGTAATTTAAATCAAGTCATGTCTAGACACCATGAATCATGATTTAGGTTTCTTCAACTAAGCAGCAAAAAAACTGCTAAATACGTGCTTTCCATTTAAATGCCTCACCTAAAATCATCCAAACACAATGTCGTCACAAATACCAGATTGTAATGTGAATGTGTGTCTGTTGTTACTTTTAATTCAAAGATTCTTCAATCAAATCATTCTGACGGATACGCGTAGCCGATTTATTAAGAACAAAAAGAGAAAGATAAAACGTCCTCAACAAGCACCATTATACATATAGAGACGCGTTATCATAATGAGGACTCTAATAACTTCCATTGTGTGTTTTAATGGCTTTTCTTCTAGTGTAGTCTTTACCTTTTAAGAGATCATGGGTTGAAACAAATTATCAACAGAGAAGCACTTCAAATAACCTTACAGAATTCGCCAAGCTTTTCACACCGATAAGATGGATGTTGTATTCTTTTCCTGAATGCATGCGCCAATACGTGTACTCTTATATTAAACCACAAAGTGAAGTTGCCTTGATTATAGATTTTATTCACAAAATTTGACATTATACCACGGAATTTATTTTTTTATAACGCGAGTAATTGAAGTAGAGGATGGTAGTTTTGTCTGCCAGCACCCTATCTTTTCTTTGATTATTACTTACTATTTTCGTATGAAGATAATATTCACCATTAAATAATTAAAATATCAAAAAACATCCTGATCGATTAGACCTTATTTTTTCGTGATTCCATCTGCTTTAAAGAGAGCTGTTCAACGGAATAGTCCTTCTCAATCTGCCAATGGAGGTCGTTCATATGTTTGGCAAAGTGTAGAATTCCCTTCGCAGCCGCAAAATACCCATTTTGTTTCTGGGGGAAGAGCTCTTCCAGAACTTTCATCGGTTTAACTCCACCACAAGAGAAACCTGCAATGTTAGACAGCAAATTTTTTATTTGATTCAAAACCGCAAAGCACTCTGACTGATTCAAACCATTCAGTTCCTCTAGTAGTGTGAAGCGATAGTTTGTTCGGAATGAATCAAACTGTGCGCGGCACCGTGCGAAATCCGAGATGCAGGCATTGATAAGTACCTGCGCGCCATCATGCCTACACCCGTCGGTAAAGTCAAGGACCGGCAGGTATCGAGGATCGCAAAATAGACCACTGCGAAGGGTCGTCATGAGATCCTCGGTGTTGACGAAATTATCACCACAGCCGCTGATGGCCACAAAGGGTGTGCGGGCCTTGAAGGGCACTGCTGTGGCCCTAAGCTTCTTCATTAGTGGAAGCTCCTCTTCGGAGGGGTTGAAAATTGGGTTTTTCTTCTTTGTTTTCGAACTCATATATGGTAGTCGATCCTCCACTGGCTTCTGCAGGTTGGCCGCTAATGTTGAATAGAAAGCCGATATAATACGAAACACATCTGTGGTGTCCAGCGGTGAATGTGTCGAGCAGCAAGCACGTAGCGGCGCCAGCACAACACGGTGAAGACGTGCAGTTCCGCTACGCCGTTTTTTATTCCATAGGGACACCACAACCGGGTCACTCAGTACTGAACGGTGAATTTCAAGCGAGCATCCACACATTTTGTTCGTTGAAAAAAGATATGCCAGCAGTTCAACAAGCGCCTCGGTGCAACCTGACTCTTTGTCCGTGGATGTGAAAACACCGCTATTCAAAAAGGAAAACTCGTTATGAAAGTCAGCATTCACAAAAACACCACGGGTGAGCATCATGATAAAGGCAATGCCCTCCACCCCAACTTTGAAGCTGCGGAACACGTGCAATATATCCACCAGGAGTGACCCCAGAGAAGAAGGGTGCTCTTTAAAGTGGAGACCTTCTTTTTGGAAGAACCAAAGAAGCATCTGCATCAACTCAATCGTGAAGCCTTCCATATTTCCTCCCTCGACCGCAGCACGTCCCTCGAAGAAGAGCGGGTTTACAAATAACCGTTCCGCCATTCCAGTCACACGTGCCTTCCATTGATCACTGTTTTTCAGGCCACGGTGGTCCGCGAAATCGTGAAGTTTCAGAAGACGCAGCTGTGAGATCACATCCATCTGTGCGTTTCCCTTAATCACCGTCATGCCACTTGTCATGAGCCGAGTAATTTTCTTTAGGCTTATGCCAAGAAAAACAAGGTGGCCAAGGAAATCGAGACCACGACGTCCGGCACGGCCCATCATCTGACGAAATTGTGTTGTGTTGAGTAGCACATGATCACCCGCGAGAACAACGGAACGGCAAGGACTGTGGATACCGAGCGCAAGCGTCTCGGTAGAGCAAATAACTCCACAGTGTCGTCGTCGGAAAAGAATTTCCATCAGGCGCCGTAACTTACCTTTTACACCGGCGTGGTGGATACCAACCCCACGGCTTATTGCACGCGCAGCAAGAGTGTCACCACGCTTTCTGCATTCCTCAATCGCGTGCATGATGGTTTCGGGGTCCATAGTGCAGTTGTGCCCAATAAAGCTAAACTCTGGGAGGACATCAGGAATCACACAGTCCCCATAATCGTCGCCGTCGTCGAGATCCAGGTTTCGCTCGTTTCGTTCAACATCACCGTTGACATCTGTCGTCAAACGCTTTTGCTTAAGATTCGACTCCCGCTGCTTTCGAGCGGCTTCCTTTGCGGCGGCCTTACGCTCCATCATGCTCTTGTACTGTGCAAACTCCTCAGTTTGCCGATACGCCGCTTCAGCTTGCTCTAGCTGTTCGACGATTGTATTTACGATGTCATCGCAGCTCTCACTCTCAAAGGTGAAAACTATGGTGGGTCCCATATCACGACTGCTCAACTCCCTGAGTACTTTTATAATGTTATCCTGAATAAATCGCTTGGTGTTTGGGAAATGTATCTGCTTGCTAGTAGACACAACATCATTGCTCTGCTGTTGTGCTAGGACGGCACTCATGGCATACTTCTCGAGATTTTCCTCTTCCTCGCGAAGATGGAATGAAAACGTGTGGAGGATAGACTCGCACATCTTATGCATATCTGCATTTAGGCGGTTTATCTCCTCCGTGGACAGAGTGTCGAATCCGGCGGCGTTGCGGCCTGTGGTGAGGTAAACCCAATAAACGAAAGCATTTTTGACATCTACCTCGTACTGTCGTGCATGTTTCTGTGTTATATGGAGCTCTGTCTTGAAGTACTCCTCTGGCTTCATGCTCTGCATTTGAGCATCGATGTCGCGAACCACAGCCACCCTAGACCATGTTGGCAGAATTGTCTTCTGAAAGTGTTCGACCATGGCGCTGTAAAGCTGTACCACCTCACCTGGCACTAACAAAATTTCCGGTGGGAACCCACGTCGAAGTTGATCTAGCGTCAAAATGGACAACGGATGAAGGTCGCGGATGTAGTGATGCTCACACTTAGCCTTGAACTTCTTCAGTGTCTGGTGTTGCCCAACCGGTGGGAAATAGATGTATTTTTTAATGTCATTCCATCGTTGAATCGAGCCAGATGAAGGAACGGTATAAACGTTGAAATCGCGTTTTTTGTGTGGTTGTTGTTCCAGAAGCTTAGCCTGCACACGGTTTAGCCATCCACAGAGCTGATGTGTCTCGCCCAATGTTGCGGAGAGGGCTACAAAAGGGCATGGCAGCAGCGCCAGCACCCGCTCCCAGACATCACCATTCCCGCTACTCTCCATGGTGTGGATCTCATCGAGGATGACGTAGTTCAGATTCTCAACCCATTTTGTGTACTTCGGGGACAACAGTAGTGTCTCAAGTATTTCAGGAAACGTTACGAGAACCTGACACCGGTCGAGGTAAAGGTGGTAGTCGTCGCCGCCGTGCACACCAAACACGTTCTTGGTGTCATCAGAGTACTTTTTAGAGCCATAGCGAGCGCATACATCTGCCACAGCTTGATTTATAAGTGCACGATTTGGCGCAAGATACACCAGCACTTTTCTGTTGGACTTCTTGAGCGCCTTGTACATGCAGTAATAAGAGATAAACGTCTTTCCGGCTGAAGTTGGTGCACAGACAACAGCACTGCCGCGGTTGTCCACAATGTCGAGTAGCTCACGCTGCCAATAATCAGGATTGAAGGCAACGCGGGGGTCCTCATCATGGATCATCGGCCTCTCTAGTAGGTGCCCCATGTGCATCAGTTGCGTCATCTCAGGCGTCTCTAACCACATCTTCTGCCGCGGTCGCATGCCTGGCGGGAGCTGCCCAAACGACCGACCTTGCCATGTTGATATAGACTTGTCCACGTTCTCGTAATAGGAACTAGGAAAGTCGAAGTGCATGAGAGCGGAACGCACCGTATCGATATCGTCAACAGATATGCAGAGCCCATTCGCCTGAATCAGCGATAGCACCTTGTGGTGACAATACAAGAACAACGGTATCCCAACATCGATGTTGGGTGTTTCATGAACGAGGCGTGCACGCTCACGCTCAACCTTCCAGTGATCCAACTGCAGCTTCACTATGCAACACATAAGCTTGAGACGGAAGTGAAGCTGCACGTTGGACAGATAAACCCAATTGAGGTAAGACACTGCATCGTAGTACGACATTGGGGGCTGTGTTGCATGATGTAGACACTCAATTTTTCCCCAAACACTCAACGCAGAGCTCATCTTGACCGCATTTGCGCTTCCATGCACACCAGTACAGTCCTGAACAAGCTTCTCAATAATATTGAAAGCGTAAAGATTTTCAGTTGCGGTGGACTTGGAACGTGTTGCGATCTTGGATTTTTTTGAGTCCATGCTGGCTTCAATCGTAAAGGCGAACTCCGCCTCACGCATACCACTGGTTTCTACCAACAGCCGCCACATGGACAGTTTCAGAGGTATATCCTCCGATTTGTGGCGAACATTGCCAGGGTCAAAACCCTTGGTGAGATTACTCTGTTCCAGTCTGGAGATGATGGCCGAAAGAGTGCTGATGGCCTCTGTCCGATCCTTACTGGTGCCGCGGTCTGTCGCCCGATCAGTGGATTTAATCGCAGAATCCACCTGGTAATACCACTCCCGCACACTTCGATTTGCATCACGTAGGTTTGTCTCCTCTCGGATAACATCTTCTTTGCTACGAGTTTTCTTGTTCCGCTGACCATAATGCTGCTGTGTCGGCTTCTGCCGTTTAGAAGAGTTATTGTTATCACCATTTCTCTTATTTGAGTCGCTGTTGACGATAGCCTCATCATCGCTGTCGTCATCGCTTTCCGAGACAACTAACGCTAGACGATCCTTTATAAAGCTACGAATTCCCATTGACTCCGCCTGTTGTGTTGCGTCAATCACAAAAGCCGCATCAATTTTCATGTTTCGCTTGCGATCCTTTTCTGTCATATTGCGCTGAATCTCCTCTTGACCTTTCGCATCGATGATGTCATTGAGATCATCAAAGGGATAGTTCAGAGCCCACCCTTTGAGCTGATTTGCCATGCCAAAATCGCTGGGATAGGTGTGATCTGCCACATGGCCACGGACATTAAACCTCTTGGCCAGGGACTCCACGAGCTCATGAATGAGGTGTGGTTCTTGAACAGCTTCTTGGGGATTCCTCAAAGTGACCTTGGGTAACGCTGCGAGCGGGGAATTGGTAAATAGCGTCACCTTGTTGCCGAAAATATTTTGCAACGAGTAGTTTAGGTCCTCGAGGCCATCTTCATCCATAAGCTCAGACACCGGCGTCGTCCGGAGGTGGTAAATCAGCACTGCAAGGAGGTGGGCATCGAAGATATCGTGCTCGGAACCCCCAGATCCCCCACGAAAGCCACGATACCGCAGAACTTGCAGCATATACGGGGCAATGTCATCCAAGAAATGCTGAACTTCGGGCGCGACCATCCCGGAAGGCTGGGCGCGGTGTTCAGCGCTGAGAAGGACCATGGAATAGGCCATGATCACCATTGCTTGTGCCAGCTGTTTTTCTTGCTCTCCCCTAGTGGATATGCCACCATCACGGCTTAAATAGGCATGTACAGCACCAGCTATGATCTGCTCTCGCAGGACTACTTCCTCGTCCTCAGAGACAGCCTTGGACTCTGAACTCAAGCTTGGCAGCAACACTTCGCGCTCAAGCTCCTCAGCGGCTTTGATTGCCATCAAATCTATGGCTAAAGCTTTAGAGAAATTCACACTGTCTGAGGTCACCGCAAACACCACAAGAGCATTTTCACGCGAGATTATACGAGAGGAGTAGGCCACCGTGATGCGGCGAGCCATGGCCCATGTCTGAAAACAGTGATAATAGAAGGAAACGTCATCGCCAAGAGCTTCGTCATCCACAATGCTGCGGTACGGGCGCTTTAGCTCAGTAGTAGTTTCCTCCAGTGTTAGATCACCATTGTTAAACATCTTGTGAAGCGGACCGGGGGTTCCAAGCTGCTCACCGTCTGAAATGAGAAAAAACTCAGGCTCATAGTGCTGAACATACTCTTCGAAGGCTTTACAGTGGTAGCTTTCAAAAGTCTTGACAACAAGGCCTGTCGACGGGTTGCTTTCGGAGACTGCTGTAAGAGTTTCGCGAAGATTTTCGCGAATAAACATCTTCTGTGGACTTTTCATCCAAAACCACAATGTCTTTTCAAAAAAAATGACATGAAAACAGGCACCACGGCTCTGCATGCGGCGTAGCAGAAACTGTGCGTTATATAGAACATGAAGTGGCTGCATGAGATCCCAGTCCACATGTTGTGAGGACAGGGCAGCCATAAGGAGGGAATCGCCATCGATAAAAAACATTTCCGTCGCGCTAATGTGGACAAACATGTCAAGTTGCCTCGGGCGAGTAATGGCATAGTGCAGCTGCACTGCTGCCTTGGTAGTTGAGCGGTCTATTAGTGCCATCATCTCTTCATCCCTCGTGAAAGTGGAAAGGAACTTCCACACCAATCGAACCTCATCTTCGTCAATGACATCGTTCACATATCGTAGCTTTGATGTATCGTCATTGTTTTCGACAGACCTCATTGAAGATGTCTGATCATTTTTATGTGCCCTAAAACAATGTTCCAGTACATCGTTACAAATAATTTGGAGCACACCATTTACGTGTTCTTCTTGAATAGAAGTGTTACTCTCGTCAGGGTTATGCACAATGGTACGGAGTGCCAGTAACCGCTTTATAGGCTTTGCTTCATCAATACTGATTCTATCGAATTGTTCAGTACCAAGAGCTTCAGAAAGGAGTTGGCGAAGCTCCCGAAAGTGAGCTGACATAAAACAAGCCTCAAAGATTGCGACCTTGAGTCAAATAGTAACTTATTCTTTTCAAATCAAATATATTGCAATAAATTATCTTCCGCAAATCCTTAGTCACTCCCAACGATATCAAATGTAAAATATTCTGTAAATATGCACACTTAGATCTAGTATTTAAAACAAAATGAAATATCTTCCTTTGATTTATTGGATTAAGAAATTTCTAATACGCCGCTTATATATATATATATGTGTGTGTGTTTCAAAACGCTTCTACTAAACACTTAATTATTTTATGGTTGCGAAATAATCACTCTTGACAATAGTCAGAAGGCTAAATCTTCAATGCAAGAACTTGAAATAAAGAAAAAAAATATGAAAGACTAATAATTAATATTTGTTTAAGGCGAAACACCATCTTAGATATCCAGTGAAAGACTCCAATAAAAATGAATTAGGGTAAACACGTATCGCTAGCATGGGTTACTTTTAGTTGATACCGCCTAGTACCGCAGCGATCTGAATGGAATAAGCATTTTTCGAGCATATATGTACACGCACACGATTTCTATTCCAATATTATACACGTGTATATGGAAATAAATTAAATCGTTATAAACAAATACTCGTCTTTTATACTATTTTACTTTAGCATCTTTTTTCCCCGCCGTCCTAAAAAGGGGAACCTTATCTCTTCGTCCATTACACTTCCGCAAGCGAAGCTAGTAATAGGCTTTGCTGTGTTTGCAGCACCGCACCAGATTGGATGTCGGTAACTGATCCCGGGCCAACAATAGCACTTTGGATAACCGTAAGATTCGAATTGTGTCCCGCGAGAAGGTGGTGCAAAAATGTTCTATAAATATAGACGTTAGATTGCCCACAAGCATGGACGCTGATACGAATCAATCCACGGGATAGCATAGATGAAGCCCCGGTGTGGGTTATCTTGCTGTGAAAATCTGCACATGTCCCGTCAGTATCGATGTTAGTGTGTCCCCCTTCACTGCTAGATTCATGCTGCACAGTTGTCAAATTCCTTGGTATCATCAAGGGGTCTGTTTGGCAACATGATGCCTCCATAAGCCCGTCTTTACAAACTCCAGCGCAGGGCTCTAGGGGTGAATGCAATCCTTCGTTCGTCACACAACAAAGTACAACAGTAGCTTTATTTGCTGCGTGGATAATCATCTTGTTACACGAATAGTAAGAAGGTCCTACTGAAAGGGAGGGGGATTGTTGCCGTGTCAATTTCGCTATGCACCCCGGTGCCCCCTTTTGTGGCGAATGTAGCTTTATATAAGCACCGCACAGATGCAGACGCGCTCTCGCACCGCTACAACACACCACGTGGTAGTCAAACTGCACTAAGCCTGACGCCGAGGATATGAAAGGAGGAGTAGGTAAGCAAAAAAGACTACAACGATTAAGCGTTAGGGCCCCACAGGCCCTGACCGTCATGGCCGCATTACACGGACAGCTGTACCCATCATTTTCATCCTTCGATTCAAGTCTGCCAAGTGCCGATCCTAGGTGGTAATGGTGGTGCTTGTCCTCTTCTTTTTCTGGAAGCGCAACAGGATCAGTCATTCTCTCTGGAAACAACCGAGAGGTGGCTAAAAGAGAGCTTCTTAGCGCTCCAGTCGAAGGTAATGGACACATAGGGAGTTGCAGGGACACTTCGCATAGGCTGCATTCACCACAGATAACAGAACGCCCCGAAATATTTGAAGTGGTGGAGAGCAAAGACGTCTGCTGAGGGGTTTTATTATTCCACATTTGTGTAATCCATGGAAGGAAAGCATCCTTGTCGGGAGTGGGGCGCATTGATTTTACCGCCCACGTACTATGACATTGATACACCTTATTGTGTTTAGCCTTCATCCAGTCGCAGAAACTAGATCCATTCTCTGGCATACACATGTTCTGTATATCATTCTTGTTGTTAACATTATTAACAAGAGTGTCAGAAGGTGAAGTCTTGGTAGACAAAATCGCTATTTTAGTTTCCCTATCAAAATACACTTTTGTCTTGCTTTTGCCCTCATGCAACAGAACCTTTTCAGGCAGATACGCGTTCTCAAATGTCTGCACAATCCAGCCTAAAGACGATCTTGCCCAGTGAAAAAAACGAGAAGTATGCGTACCCAGAAACTCCGACTGTTCTCGCTGATACATTTTAAATTGAAAGAAACTATTCGCGATCCAGCCCCATAAGGTGGTGATGAGCCGTGCTGAATCGAAGACTCTTAGAAAGCATACCACGCCCGAACGAATAGCGGTTAAACAGGTATTCGAGGGCTGCCGCACGGGAAGGTTGAACCAGCAGTCTGGTAGCGACTGTGGAGTGCTCACGAGAGGCAAGAAACGGCACACCGCACCGCGCTCTACCACAAGTGAATAGGGATAAGCATGTAAGGAGGAAGCAACTATGGTGGCATCAGGAGCTCCGCCAAATGAGTGTCGAAGCCGCATTTCGTCATCTTCTGCTATTGCATCCAACACGTCGATAGTGCTACCGCTGCCAATATAGACAATAGAAGTTGGCAGTGTATGTAACCCGATAAGTTGAACATTTTGGATCACGCAGTACTGGAAAAAGCCGAACGCACCAGACTGTGCCCGGATGCCACAGCCTGCGCCACCACCAAGGAAAGCACAGTGCACCATGGCGTTTGCATGCGCCTCGAGTAGGACACAAACCGAAAGACCGCACGGTTCTATCCCCCCCATTGAAGGCAGGTGACTATTCATTGGCTTTTGCTCCTGCGAGGCATCCGTGCAGTGTTCTTTAACCTCAAGCTGGCTGCCTTTTTCTGTTTCCATAATAGCCGATTTATGGAGGTAAATGCCAGCGCGAGAGAAACCATTAATTTTGACATTTTCTTTAATACGCAACAGCGAACCGTCTGAGCAGACAAGTCCGAAAAGCCTGCCAGTGTAGTTTCCCTGTTGGATAAGGCAACGCGCATTCGCGGAGATGTGAACGCCCTCCTGCAGGCTATTAATACAGCAATTAAGAAACTCCGCTTGTGCAGCACTCTCAACTTTCAGACCGTGCTGTACACCCCAAATGTGGATGCGGTGGGCGTGGACACGCGCCTCTGGGCCGATAGCCACGACACCATACATACCACCGCGTATCTCGGTATCGTCGACGTAACACATACTACTGGACCATGCCTTGACGCCAATGGTATGAGAAGAAGCGCTGTCCTGTGTATCCTTGACTTTACTAAACAGTTGTAGGTGGCAAGTGCCACAGCTGCAACCGCCAAGAATCCTCATTGCTTTTGATAACTCAACATTGTCAGAGTGATCTACCCTAACAGTACCGGAAACCCCCTTCCCGCCTACGCCATCTCCTTGCCTCATTTCCAGTTTAGTTAGTCTCTGCGTAAAGTAAGCTGCGAAACCCTCTGGCGAGAGGTCCACCAGGGATTTTCTCGTATGCAAAATACTTCCACCATGCACATTAAAAGCACTACCGCACATCTGAAGCACAGTGATACCGTGACATCGCACTACGCTGGCCTTACATTCAATGCCGTTCAAGCCAGCTGCGAAGACACTGGTGGGGAACCCACTAACGTTTTTTTCAATCTTCGTCTGTTTCAAAGGAATCAAGACTGGCTCAATTAAACTGAGTGAGTCGCTATCTGTAGAACTGCTAGTCATGGTGGGCACTGCAGGTTCTTTATCAGAAAAAGGTATCCAGTCAATGTCTACGTGCGAATGCTTCTGCACGAGCAAGGATATACCCCTCACATAGGACCCACAATCATAAAGCGTAGCCACAGAGTTGTCTTTCACCATGAAGCCGATATAGCCGCGAACTGCTACACACTCTTTGAATAACGCTGTAGCCTGTTGCATGACAACGAAGGCAAACTCCAAATCAACAGCAAAACAAAGGTGTAACTTAGCCTTGGATTCTATGAGTTTCACACCACATCCCTTGTCGCTGTCATAAGAGTCTACACAGTTCCCATGGCAGCTACTACTGCTTCTACAATTCAAGTGGCGTTCCCGCGTTCTAAGCGATGTGGGTATAAGTGAAATATCGCTAGCCATATTAAAATCCTGAACATCATTCTCATAAAAGTCTCTTGACTTACAGGTAGATTTCGTGATAGAGTCCAATGTGTCAATAGGAAAAATATTAGTCTTTTTCAAGCATGATTTCAAATCAATATGGGTTTTCATCTTTATCGCCCCTTCGGACCGAATGGAGTGGTTCTGCGTAGGTAGACCCCACATGATGCACTCCTGAAGATCTACCTCGCTGCGGGCCAACACACTGACGTCGTTCTCGAAATTGTCACTCGAGTCGCCATCAGACAACTCCTTCCGCGTGGGCTGACCACTATACTGCGGGTACGCATAGACACAAGCACATCGTGCATTTATAACTGTAATACCCCTTGCTTTCATGGTGGCTCCACGCACTTCGACACCGTAAGTCTCGCCATAGTAGCATCGCATGCCCCTATTGAATACACGCTTTCCAACAAAAGAGTGACTTTCCACACGATATTTGCCAAACCCATAGCGGGTCCAACTCTCTGATTCGTCATCCAGTTCGACACGCTGCGCTCCTGTACCCAATGATTCAACGTTATGTGCAGAGAAACTCTGGAAAGAAGTTCCACGAAGTGCGCATTTTTGGTACAATTTTTGCACCCTTTGTGGGTGTTCGCATTGTCGGGTTTTACAACATGCCTGGTTGACTGTGGCACAGCGCTCATCAAACGAGCTCCCCATCGCAGAGTCATCACTATACTCGATTATTTCACACTTGGCTTGGTTCAGCACGAACACGCCAACATGATTACTCCATACAGAGCAATTTTCGAAAGTCGCAGTCGACGCATCCACCGTGTATCCATTAACTACGTGGCTAGCGTGGCAGCTGTGGAGATGTGCAACAGAGAAAGTCATGATGCTAAAACCAAAGTACAATCCCTTTATGATACACTGACGTGCGATCAAAGAACCACCTTGCTCCACAACGAGTCCCGTGCTTCGCTTTGTGTCTCCGAACGCCGGAGATAGAAGTACTGTTTGATTTTGAGCTACACGCACTGAAGTTTCATCGGGGCCATCGCATTTGAGATCCTCGAGATGTGGCGACTTATTTTCATGGGCTTTCCCTAAGCTGCACGTCCATTTCCTCCCCATCATAGTAGTAAAATGACGCCAGCTTGTTATGCGGACATCGTGTAATAAGCCCTGGCATCCCTGGATACAAACAGCACTCACACCGCTCGCCACAATAGTACTATGGTTGATATCCACACAGGCGTTTTGCTCGGCAAAAATAATTCGCTTGCATAATATGGCCAGTGGTCCAGGTCTTGAGAAGAGACAGCTGTCATGGACAAAGAGTTTCGCGTTATTGGAGACAAAAATAAGAGCAGAAAGAACAGGAAGAGAACAGCAGTTAAGCTCACTGTGAACCAGGTGACGATTATGCAGCTTCTCCACAATTACAGGCGAAAACGAAGCCAAGCTCGATAAAAGTGATGCAATAGTACTTTCCAGGGTGTCGCTCTTTCCGATATGGTTAATTGTAGAAAGAGGATCTATGTCCGAGTCTATGTTACCTTTCTGGTTTAGCCTTACAGCATCATATCCAGAGATTAGGGAATTAACATCTGGTGATTTACCATAGCGGTGTCCCTTGGAAATTGTTTGGTTAGCAGTGTGTGAGAAAACAGAAGGCAATGAGAGCGGAATGGCGCATGACACAAGTGTTGCCTCAGTTATTTCAACTCTAGATGTGTCAAGGATCAGAATACCTTCGTAACGATGTGGCATCTGTGTTGAATTTTTTTCGGAGGATGATCGCATCGGCGTCATTATGTTTGCTTTTTCACACATATAAGCTCGCTGTAAAAGCTCTGTTGAATGTATCTTACGTTTATTTTCCTCTGGTAAATTAATGCATTCTATAACGTCAATGAGTTTTTGTCCGACATCGATACCAATTCGGCAGTTTTCGATGTGAACTTGCCCACTCATTTCACATGAAATGGTTCCAATAAAGCGACAGTTTCGGAGTCGAAGGTGGCCATGCACTATCAGGTGACCATACACATCCACGTCGCTCAGAGTTAGCGAAAGGCCTTCAATAATGATACAGTGCGGTACCATCGCAGTATCCTTACTATAGTCGTTGTCACAATGACTATGTTCTGTCAAGGTGTTGATAAGTAGAGTTTCGGATTCTGGGGGAAACCCCAAATCTTCACTTCCTTGAGAACGATAGAATGGTGCCTTACCCTGTCGAAGGGCAAGTGCTACAGGGAAGTGACAAGGGAAAGATCTTGACAATGGCTCGGACTTACTATCCTCGTCAACAGTTCTTCCTGAGATATGTACTTTCACAACACGAGCACTTCCGTGGTTGCGATGATCCAAGCATGTGGGAAAGTGATGACCATTTACTGTAGAATCAATAGGGGGACCACTGTAACAAGGAGGCAACAATAAATCCAAAACAATCTGCAGCGGTGTTGCTTGAAGTGTCTTGGTAGCTTGACTAGAGGGAGTGCTTGAGGTACTCAAGTTAACACTCTTGGATGTTGCTAAAATTAACTTGTGGGAAACGTTCGCTAAGCTGCGTGGTAGCGCCAAAGTAGCCCAAAGGGATTCCTCTCGGTGATTCTCTCCAACCCTTGTAAGTTGGGTAAAATTTGGTACATGGTGATCGTCCCTTCGCGCATGACTGAGGTCCACTATATGCCGTAATAATGCAACTATGTTTAACGTAGCCTTAAAATCTTTTAAAGAAGCGTTACTTTTAAGATTATCATCGGTATCTGTCAGCGTCAATGTGCTATGTGAAGGCTGACGCATAATTCCTTGATAAATTGCGTACTTGACCTCGCTTATGGTACTAAGACGCAACCACTGGGTATGCTTCGAGGAAGATTTAACACCTTCTTGTTCCTGCGCTTGAGATGGGGAATATTCATTTACTATTTCATTACCACTTTTGTGCGTAGATAAATTTTCAAGGTAATATGAATGAGTGACGTCCTGCTGAGTAACTTGACGAAAAAGATGGGGGTGAGAGCGTGCTATAAAGCGCAGCCCGTCGCGATGCTCTTCATCTGTGTAACTCGATGCACCATAGGGAAGATGCACCGATGAACAAAAACTAGCATTTGGCGCTACCACACCTACCGAAACTCGACTAGTTCCATCAAATGGATTCAATGTGTGGTATAAAGTGGTGATTAGAAGTGCCACATTTTCCTCCGTGTGTTCCCAACACTGAGACATGAGCTCAAGCGAGCAAACGACACCGTGATGAATGAACGACGCATTGAGGCGTGGACATATAACTAGAACGGCTGGCATTCGCGTATAAACCACTTTATCAGGTGATTTTCTAATACTATTCCTCAAACCCAGCGTAGCAACACAACTTATAGTGTTTGAACTCACTTCTGAGGTAGTGGTAACTGGGTTCAATTGCATCAAGCTTCCATCACCCTTCACATTTCCCTCTCCTTTATCCATCATCACGGTTCTACCTTTAGCCTCCAAAGCAGTCACAAAGTCGTTTACTGAAGGTGAACAAGAGGCTAATGTTGCAGAGGGCATTTGATCCTGATTTTGAAGAATTAGAGGATTATCATTTTTATATTCTCGTGTTCTTAGTGTCCCTTTGGAATGATTGTGTAAATTTTTTCCACCCATTGGTATCTTCCCAGATGCTAAATATTCAATGCCTTCATCTGAAAAATTTATTCTGAGTGAAATGAAGAAGTCACTACCGTTTTCGTCCTTGTAAGCGAGTTGCACGAACCAACTCTTGATATCATCTTCGTCGATTAACTCAATAGATGAGCATCCTGCTGGCAGTTTTTCACCATTCTGACGTTTAAAATAAGCGTAATGCTTCTGAAGTCGTTGGATAAAAGCATGTGTGGACATATTATGCGTGAAACGACTACAAATAGAATGGGAAGTTACCCCAGGGTAAAGTTACAATACTATTTTTAGGTATACACTGCACAAACTAAAGGGAAACCCTAAAAGAATACGTAAGAAAAGTATCATATCAAATTCATTACATAGAACTTCTCAACTGAAAAGGAATAACCATACACGATCCTCAAAAATCGCGTTTGTACGCCAAATGATTGGATGCGTTTCAATTTAACAAATCATTTAAAACTGAAATAGGTCTTTTAAAGATGAAAAGAAACAGATATTCATATGCAATGTAGGTCGCTAAGATAGTGAATATAGAATACAAAGGGAAACACATTTAGACTCATGGAACCATTCAAATAGTTCCATCTTGACAGAAATACCATTATTTTGCGTACATCATCAAAAAAAAAATGGATAGACAGATTCATCATATAAAACACAAATTTTATATTTATGAAATGAAGAAATTTGGATTTTCGGGGGGAAATCCCTTTCTTTAATGATATACAACACAATAAAGAAATAGTCATGAAGTATGACAATAACGTACGCTGCGTGATCACTATTAAAATGTTAATATAAACTAAAGAAAACACTCTCTAATTTTTTAAAAAAAGGGATAAAAAAAAGTAAATATACTTCTCCATAAATTTTCTGCACTTAATACTCATCATAAGCTAGCCTTCCTAGTTGCTTCTAACCCTGACTCCCCAGCCATCCATCGCAGACGTCTACCCACTCTACAAAATTCTGCGCATGTTCCTCCAGTTCATCCAAGGTCAATGTGATAATTGTGTTAGAAGTACCGCACGCCGCATGAATTGTTTTGAACCGCTTCATGGATACATCTAAATACACCTTTACATTGCTGTTGATGCCAAAGGGGCACACGCCGCCTACAGGGTATCCAATGACATTTTCCACAATACTGTCGGAAATCAGATTCAGCTGGGAGTGAAAACGAGATTTAAACTTAGATTTCAAGATCTTTGAATCCCCAGATGTCACGATGATGATCGGAAAGAGATTATCAGGAAAAAGAGGTGAGACAGAATTAGCCAACGACTCTGCAGGACCCTCGGCCGCGACAGGGGGGTTTTGAGTATTTTTCCGCTTTTCCTTTCCTCTCGCAGGGCTTTTAACAAAAATGGCGATGGATTTGGCGATTTCGCTGCATTCACATTTCAAGCATTGAGCCGCGAGCTCCGACGTGGCACTACTTTCCTGACAATGAGTAATTCGATTCAAAAGAAACTCTGCACCACAGGAAGTAAAATACTGTGTAATTTTGTCCATATCTTCTTGGTCAAATCATAAAAACTACGAAGGTATAAAATAATTCCTAATTAAATTAAAAAAATGACTCCAACGAAAAAAGGCTTAAAAGGACATATATATTAATGCCATTTATACTTTGCAAATAATTTTAACACAATACAAATAATTTTTATCATGAATGATAAGAAATACATCATTTTCAGAGCATGAAGCACAAAGACCCTTCATTAAATATGGGGCCTACTTTGGAATATAACAATAAGTGGCAGAGGAGGCTATTAGTTGAAACGGAATAATTAAAAATCTGAATATGGGAACATAGTATGTGATCGTGGAGAAAACGCAAATAAACAATGGTGGAAATATATAAGAAATAAAAGCTATAACATAAGTAATGAAAACTTGATAAATTTTAAATATTTTGCAGGAAGAAACGATAATGCAAGATAAGGTTTTAGATGTTAACATAAAAATCGCCTTTTCTGTGTAGTCGGTTGTTGACGTTATGAACAACAAAAGGGTAGAAGAATACCATTTAGTGAATCTGTGTGTCTTCAGTGGACTTCTTTCACCACCTCCAGCTTAACTTCAACCGGTTCAATCTCGAAACGATGCACACACATTTTACTATTTATCTATGTAAGTAGATAATATATCACCATCGTTCATCGCATCTTCATAAAATTATACGAAACTAGAAGACAAGTGATAATAATAAAGTGCCATACTATCCCAGGTATTCTATCTGACATATATTTGTATATTATCGCTTAATCATATTTCCCTTTCATATCCCTGTTTGGTCTTACCCTTCTTGACGACGAAGAGTATTTACCACCCTTGAGAAAGGTGCAAACACTGCAGATGATTGCAACACTGGAGCTGAAACGCTAAGGTCCTCCAGAAAACCATTTGAGTCATCCCACTTTTCAGGTTGTCTAGCCAGCATTCTCTGCGATATGTTTTTTATTTCCTGATTAACCGCTTTCTCTACTCGTTGGTTTTTTTTCAATACCTCATCCGGGATTACATAACGCATAACGGTCCTCTCACCAAAATGGGAAGATGCGTGTCCACGACTCTGGAACTTCACGTCTCCTCGGATTAATTTTCCGCTAAATTTATACTCCATGCGCTTCAGCACACCAGTCCATTGTAAACGATCCACCATATGCAGTACCTGTTGTTGCCAAGCCGGAGAACCCCACAGTACGTGGTTCTGCCGCTTGCCAAAGCAGCAACCAATTTGCCGTACCCAGGCATACGTCAACTCTACCACAAGCACGTGTGACACTAAGACAGAAATTGAATCATTACTGCTGATCGCATTGAACTTTTCGGCTTGTCCTCCGGTGCCAGTAGTCAAGGTGGGCTTAGCTACGATGACGGATGACGACGCAGTTCGTTGCAATGACACAGCGGACGGACCTGTAGGACCGACTAGCTCCTCCATGAGCTTGTTCGTATCAAGAACCATAGAAAGCAACCGCTGCACCACCACTAGTGGAAAGTCGTGTTCAAGCGCCCCAAGAGATGAGATTCCACAATGTGTGTCGATGTAAAGAAGCCTTAGGAAATGGATCATAGCACGTTGTAAAGCTTCTCGAGTTATGTTTTGGTAGATCTCGCGCTTTGTATCACTATTAGTGCCATCGTCGTAGATTTTCATATTTGTGTCGAAAATTCTGCTGTTCTTGCATTCAGTGTTGTATATTGCTGATGTTTCTTGGGATTGTTGTTTTAAAGCAAGGCGAAACAATCGGGTGATGCTTCGTAGGAAGGTTGGTAAGCCGTAGATGTCAATAAGGCCTACCCGATAGCGTGGGGCAGAGTCTTGAAAAAGGGACATGCCCCCTGATTCAACTAAACCTTGAAAGGAAAGCTCGTCGTGACAGTATTCATCACTTAAAAGCATTAGTTGCTGCTCTCCCTCTTCGTCACCCCTGATGTCGTTGCCTGCACAGCATGGGTCAAGTGCATGACTTGTATCACCTAAAGGAAGGATTCCATTACCTACGGAATTTTGGTCTTGGTGCTCAGCTACGTTAAGTGTATCCAAACTATTATCCATGCACGCCGCACCATCACTTGCCCGCTTGACCAGCACCGGGCTCTTTGCACACCTACGGCGCTCCAACATTGTAGTGAGATTTTTCAGCAGCACATACACAACTTCGGAATCGACCATGAAATTTTCTCGTCTACCAAGCAGCAGTACAATGCCTAAATAAGGCTCAGGATGTTGTCGTAGGAATGCTGCAAGTCCAGGCTGCATCGCAGGGACGAGGCCTGGGTGAAAGAATGTAATCCTCGCAAGAGCTCGAGTGAGGAACAAGAATCCCGTAGGTGATATCTGAGACCACCCCGAGAAGTCTGCAGCAGAGACTATGGTGGCTTTGTTTAATGTCTTTTTCCCCATTTCGGCGTGGTCTCCCTGCGGATGACAACTGAGAAGCTGAATCATTTGCTCCACTGCACTGTTGTAGAGCCATTCATTCACAATTGGATGTCCATCCGGATTCTGACGCAAAGTGCGTGCAGCCTGTAAATACTGTGTAGAGGAATTATTTGAAAAAGATGAACCTTGATACGTTGTTGACGATATAATTGGTATCCCAAGAAGCATGCTGCTGGATCCGGGGTCTATCGTCCCCGTGGATCCGAGGAGGTGACGATCATCTGCTTTCCTTCCAGTATTATGCCATCGTGACATGTTGATGATGCTCATTTGGTACCGATGAATCGCGTCAATCAGTACTGACAGCCGATTCATGTCAAGTCGCTGAATGCCCAAAATAATGTTGTCAGCCAGCGTCTCCAAAAGCGCATCAGAGAAAAGAAGGCGTTGCTGCACCACAAGATGGAGTATTGTGACTGACATCTCTGCATCAAAGCTGGAGACACGCATTAGAAGCCACTGGAGAAGGTACTCAGATAGCTTGTGCACAAAACGAGTCCCAGTGTTAGGCAGTGATAGTTCATAAGTCCTACCCACTAGTTTATGCTGTTGTTTGTCATTTTTAATTGGTTTATGTGTCAAATGAATGTTGGTGAACTCAAATGCGGCTGGCCAAGGGTAGGCATAGTGACAACGCACACCTGAGGAGGGTAATTCAAGTTCCCAAGCCCACCGACCCCCACAGGGAGTGACTCCGCATGAGTCTTGAGTATATGATAGCGCAGTAGCATTTGGTCCTTGAGCTCTTATGACCTTTCCAGCTTCTACACCTTGAACAAGATGAAGCTCCCTCACATGTTGCTCGATCCAAGCACATATTTCCGGCTCCAGTTCGATAAGATCCATCTTGCACAGACACCGCAATACTCCCTCGAGAAGGTGGTCAGTACGAAAGTCTGGAGATCTATTAACCTCAGCGCTAGGTACTTCCTCCTTCGGTGCGATATACAAACTATCCAACGACATATTGGAGTTTATCCATTGATGAGTATTAGCAACCTTTTCCTGATCCTCACAAGATGTTGTAGTTCCTTCAATTCTTCCTTTTGTAGTGTCTTGATTGTCCGAGTAAAATTTTGGACTAGCATTCCACATAACGTACCGACATTCATTACCGCTAAATTGTGTGCTGATGGTAGGTGTAGTGACAGTCAGCCAATCGAACCGGCGCCAGACCTCGATCAAGCATTGTATCATATTCCCATAGTTCAGACACCGATAGCTTTTACCTACTTCGGCAGTAAGATCAACCTCTGATAGTGAACGCAGATGCCGCGCATAAGCAAGAGAAAGGTTTAGTAATGATTGTGTAGCCGTTTGAGATGATATAGTCGATGTCGTAAAGAGATGCTGGTGCCACTTCGCCTTGTTTAGGGATTTATCTGCCGCGGGTGAGTGCTCTTCTTCGGTGGAGATGTCATTTTCCTCGGGACTCTCATTTTTTTTATGAAAGAAAGTTCGATTTTCTTTAAGAGAAAACCCCTGTGTTTCCTTGATATCATTATGACTATACATACCCTGCGATATTGGCGCTGTTTCTGCATTTGATGCCGTTGGGGTTCCTAGTTCGCTGAAGGCTTTGGCAAGTTCACCTAGTGTTACCATGCGACGCTGAAAAAATGCAGGAGAAAGTGCTGCAACTGAACTAGAAAGCGATGAGAGTAAGAAACCGTTATGCCATGATATTGACAAAAATGGACGCATTTGTCGTATGGGTGATTTTGCGTACATGGTAAGCAAACGAGTATATTCATCCAACGATGTAAGTAGGAATGTATTACGAATGGATTTTATATTCCAGTACTTTATTTTTATATATGATACCTATATTCACACTTCGGCCGTTTGCTTTTAAATCAATCAGATATGCAATCCAATATAATCAGAGAAAGGTAACCTTGGAAAGGGTAATCTAAAGAGAAACCAATATTACACACATAATGAAGTACTTTATATTCTCTTATTTTACAAACCTCATTTTTTTTAAAGGAAATAATACATTTGATCGTAATTTTTTCACTCAAACATACATGAAAGCGTAAAACATTTACGTCCTTATATATGTACAATAATAATAATAATAAGCACTTAAAATCACCGGTATGCTTACAAACAGATGAAAGGCAATTCTTTGAAATATATTTACACTAGTATAATGTAACAATCACTTCCTTAAAAAAAAAAATGATCGTTCTTTGGTTTATCAATTCTTCTACATATATATTATTGATGGAATAAAGTGCAGTTAGGAGGCCTAAAATTACTCAAAACATCTCTGAAGGGAAAAAACAAACAGTAATACAACTATCCAGGAAAACGAAGAGCTTGATCTAGGTATGAATAATAGACAAAATTTTTGCTTTTGATACATAATTCATTATATACACATACATGTATAGAGATATATGCTTATATTATTTAATAGAAACAAATATTCTAGCTTTTTTTTTCTCTGAACAGTACGCTCCCTCGCAGCGTTCTATGCGAATAGAAGGATATATTGATTTTGGATGCAATGCCGTAACTATAAAAAGTTTGAAGGCATACAAATAAATAGATGTGCTTGGTCAATAAGTTCAACACCAACTGGGGGAAGCCGTGTACATGGGAGTAGTCCAGAAGAGAATGTGGTCGCATTAGTATCATCATGAAAACCAGTGGTATCACCCTTATGGATATTAAACCGTGATAGTTTACCCGTTCTCTTCCCTGGTTCTGCCAAACGTGTTTGGTTCACAGAATTTAACCCCTCTGAGTAAATCATAGAGCCGCTCCGTCGCAGTGGTGTTCTAGCAGTATGTCCTCTGAAAGAAGTTCCACTGCTAACAACAGAAGGCGAGACCTGGAGTGGAAAAAGCACATCACGACATACTAGCTTAATATTTGTGTCGCTGATTCCAATACAGGCGTGTAGACACGCAGCCTTGCTGTATCGCTGAAGACCTGTGTAAATGAGTTGTGCCAGTTGATGTGGCCTACTCTGAGAAGGATTAGCACCAAGGGCTTTACGTGAAGCAATGATATCAATAAGTACATGAATGGTCGGGCGTGATTTTAATGACATACTAGAAAGAAAGGAATCACCTTCAAGGGTTTCCTCTCCCATTTGGGAATTACATTGATCAACACCATTACCATTCATTCTTGCAGATTCGTAGACACCGCGTGATGAAGACCGTTGTTGTTTCTGGTATGGGCGTGATTGCATCAGATTTGCTTGCTCGTCGTCACTGTAGTGCGGCCAGAGCTGAGCTAAAGTTTGGACCACCTCCTCTAATCGATTGCTGTGGAAAGTGTCCTTGGCATCGCTGTGGCCGGTCGGCTGTGGGTGCTCCAATGCGGTGAGAGACTGAGCAGTGTTCATTGCCGCCGCCGAAACGGCGATCACGTCATCTTCAAAAGTCTTACTAGGACACTGGCGTGTTTTTTTATACTCCAAAGCTTCATCGCTGTGGCTAACAGAGCAAAAACTAAGTGTTGGCGCATTCCCTATAGGTCGCGAAGAACTGCTTATATTTCCAATTCCCTTCAAATCTCGCGCAACATGTACATAGGACAGTTTCCTGCCTCCATTCTTCGGTGAAAGTTGTTGCTGTTGTGGCATCGGAACCTTTTTACGGCAATTTGTAGTAGATGGGAGAAACATGGGTCGTGGTGGATTAAAAAATGCGGTTCCACTCTTCCTTCGGGAGGAATAAATGGAAGCTCTCTCTACAGTATTCGCTTTCTTTTGCATAACAGAAATCTTGAGCTTTGACAAGAGAGAAGGTAGTGCAACAACTTGTGAAACCATCATTGGTACATGACGTAGCATCAATGCTGTCTTCATATCATTAGAAAGGTTCATATAAACCTCAACAGAGCGTTCATACGCGCTCATGGCGGTCCGCATGAGGCGATCAAGCAATTCCTGTACCTCGGCTTCGCTTTCAGCAGGCGTTGAAACGTACTTAAACTGATAGACACCATATGCCCTCAGGGAATTAGTCGGATCACAAAGGAGGCGATCTGAGTGTTCAGCAAATACCAATATAGAGCCACTTTCTCGTCCAGCCAAAGAGATTTGCGAAGCTTTTGCTGCTGCTTGAGCATGACGATGTTTATGAGCTCCTATCCTATTTACTTTATCAATACCTATGCTTTGTTGGGTCCCACCGTCGCTATATGCCGCAGGTACTATAGGGGACGCCTGGTTGTCAGCTGCTATGAGACTGAGGTCAGCGGCTTCCATGCCCATGAAAGCCTTCACAGCACTTTATTTGTTCTCTTTCTTTAATTTCGTTCGGAGTAAAAAGGGGAGATTACGTAGTAAAATGAAGATTAAAAGTAAAAATGGAGCCTATCAATCGTATCCAAAAAGAATGTAAAACTAGAAAAGTGGAAAATAGTAAAAACAAAGAAATCTCAGAATAAAGTGTCGTCTACGCTTTGCCCAAGTCTCAACTTAGTTTTACTTTAGTATTTGTAACTATCATTATACCTAGCCACAGAGTTTACTTTATTCTGTAAATTATTACTGTGTCACACTTTCTGCCCATCCCTTACACACACACACACCTATCCCCACCCTTATCGCTCAAAAATGCAAAACTCGCACAACTACAACAGTGAGCTAAATGCACATAAACTCATGCAATATAAGCAAACCTTTTGATACCTTTCTTTCATTATTATGCTTTTTTTATTTCACTCTCTTTTTGTTTATGTGTGATTTTTGTCAAATGCGGCGAAAATAAATGTTTCGCTTATTACCGAGTCGTCATTGTCGTTGTCAGTAGTTTTTACTTGAGGTTGTTGACGTTTTTTATTCTTCTTCCGCTGCCGACGAGACGGTGAAATGAAGGACGGTTCCATAGTATTACCTGCGCACATTTTCTCTTCTACAAGATACTGCTTAGGCATGACCGATCTTTTCTTTTCAAGGGCAGGCCTTTCATGCGATGAAGCTACAGAAGAAAATGTTGTTGTATCTCTTTGAATAAGCAACTCATATTTCATGATATCTTGAGAGAAACCGTTTCGGACTTTGGGGTAATAATCATCATCTGTAATCTTACAGATTACTTTTTCCTTCTCTTTCTCTCGGACTGACCGTGGTACAAAATCTTTGTTTCGAAAATGTGAAAAATTTGACCGATTGTTGGCCTTGACATTTTTCTTTCCCTCCTTTCGTTTCTTCGAAGTCTTGTTAGTGTCTTGGTAAAGATATTCTTCGGCCTTTATTTGATCGCGTTCGATCTCTTCTCGTTCAAGTGCAGCTTGCTCCAGCAAAGCTTGGAAGTCATCTGTATCCTTTTCTTTGTCTCCATACTTTTTGATTACACACTGCGCTTTCGACGAACACCAAATGGGCTCTTCCGTTTTTTCAGTTGAATTCTGGTTGGAGTTTGTTGCTTTCAGAAGATTTAGACTATGATAATAGTTATAAGGAACGAGTTCCACTTCAGTTAGGTGTGCCAGAATTGCAGGGTCAGATAGTGTGTCATCCTCCTCACCCTCTTTCACACAACCCACTTGAGCACCACAGTGGCGGCAGCAAAGAAGTCTTCCATGCACAGATAAAGCACTGAATTGACTACCCTTGAGATTGTAAGAACCATTTTGATTTGTTGACATCGAAGCAAAATTGTGCAGCATCAACGGTAAATTGTGAGATTCTTGGTTGCCCGTACCCGACTCATAAGCTTGAACCTGAGGTCCTTTGTTTTCACTGAAGAAGGAATCATCGAACGGACTACCTTTAAGCGCATAATTGAGCTGATCGAATAGCAGATTTTGACACCTGATGCACACATATACTTTTCTGACGTCTTGAAAATGGACATCTGGACACGTTTTTTCTTTGGTCAAAGACGGGTCCAGATGACCTTTGTTGACGTCAATGGGGCTATGACCATTGTAGCACCTAGTTATCGGGTCATCCTTCAGGAGTGCTTCCGCGATATAGCCGGCAAAAAAGACCCACAATGTATTACATAACACTAAGTCTTCTAAAGCTTCATGCGATGCGAGCGGATTACATTCTGTCTGCTCTAATGTATCGCCCACTTCCCTCTCATACACTCTTTTCATCACCTCGTAAAGAGTACGGACAACATACGGATAATGCCCTGGCTCATTAGGAAGTGTGCCTAAGTCTTTATCCGGTAGATTCTGTGGGGTACACCATGGTGAGGAGGTGCCGACAAGGAGTTGAGTCCAACTCAAACAACTGTTTTTTTCATTCATAGTGTTTGCAATGTGACTACAAGACGTTTCACCTGTGCTGGAGCGTAATCGAGGCAACGTCTTTGCCCAATACTCAATACAATCAGTAGCAGTAGCATTTTCCGTTTTATCAAGTCCATCCGAACCGATATTTAGCCCTTCTGCTGTTGCTATCACATACGCCGGCACTACAGGATGGTAAGGTGACGTACCTTTTTGCGCTGAGTGTCTTAGTACAACGGCTTGCGGACTTTCAGGTTGGTGCGTAGAGACCCAGTTGCGCATGTCTTCGGAGCATGCCAGAATCTTCATTCCATTGTGCAGAACCACCGCCACAGGCGCTTTGCATGAGGATACGGTGCCGGTGTTATCCCCGGCTGAGGGCTCCCTACCTGGGGTGTCTACGCCCTTACCGGCGCTTTCAGTGGATGAGCTGCTTTGAATAAGTTCATCCAGAAGCACAGTCATGCGTTGCCCAGTAAAAATAAGTCCTTCTGATGTTTGGCTGTCAACAAAAAGTACCAGTGGTAGTCGCAGTTCACCCGCCAACCACCAAGACTGCCGAAGCATCCACTCCTGCGCGTAGTGTGAATCGCTTCCGCGACCCAGGTCAAGCCCAGAGAGAATCCCAACAACCTCGGAATTTTTGGCGTTGCAACGGATCTCTCCAATCCATTTTTCTTGCAATTTGAGATTCATGCTGCATATATTGTTGGGGTGCACGCCAACTAAACAGTAGAGTATAACCCCATCCGATATCGACGAGGGGGAGGGAAGCTGTGAGGTTTCCATGTCGATGCTGGAGATGATTTCTTTTATATGCTGAACCCCATCTCGATTGTCTTCTGTGAAGGACACTTTCCCTTTTTTTTGTCTCCAAACACCACGCTATCACGTAACTGTTGTATGCCAGAAAGGAAGAGTTTGTTATTCTCTTTACATGTTTCCACCAGTGTCGACTGACGATTCTGCTCCGAACACCAGCAAAGCACGGCGCTGAGTTTTCCTTCTTCCACAGCTCGTCGATATAAACCCGCCTGATCGAATTCAAGTCTCCTTGAAAGAATTGCAGCAGAGGCGTCGATGTGCCGTTGGATTGGCAGCAGACTATGGCATACACCGGTACTTCTGATAGACGTCATCACCTTATTTTGAGGAAGACCTGATATATTGAGAAATTCACAGAGTTGCCAAACAGCGCCGTAGAGATGAGGCGTCTTGCACAGCATACTTGGAGTTTGCACGAGTGCAGACTCTTCGTGTTCACTGAGAGCGTGGATTAAAGACGATGGTGATGTAGCAAAAGAGTTGCGAGTGGCCTGGTACCGTGCATATTCTATCATGTTTGAAATTATCTCTGTACAAGCGAACGGCGGGAAGGATGCTGAGCGTGTGAGAGACAGAATATTATCCTTGTGCTGACTCTGGTTGCTGATAGAGGGTGCACCAGGGTTTTTTTTTGATCTACGCAAGCTCGATCCTTTGGCCTCCCGGCCTCCACCGCGATCAACAAAGCCCATCTCAAATGTTACTAAGCACTTCTCTCACTTTTATGCACAAAAATGGTACCTTCAAAAATTTAGATGTATTAGGAATCATTTGAAATTTAGAGTTTTTTTTTTTAAGGGAGGGGGGGGAAATAAAAGGTTTCTGAAGAGGGACAAAATATAAGATCCCTGATCTTTTTCCCAGTAATGGAAGTCTTCTTTTCTTTCACACGTACACTAATTGTGTCAATCATTTATCTTCAGTATTGCGCTTCTTCCTTGCATACCTTCTGTTTTATCGGTAATAAAAGACATTTTTCTATAAGCTATCGGTGGACTGGTCATCAATATTAATACTTTTCACCGTCCCAAGCTCATCAATCAAATATTGGTCAAAAAAAGATTTGGAAGAAAAGCAAGGAAAGTTCTCGCTGTCATTGCTCCGAAAGCTGGACTCAAGACTTTGTTGAATCAGACAGTGCTTCTCCACCATCAACTTTTCATACATCGCGAAATCCATCTCTTGACAAACGTAAAATACTCCTTCTATTTTATTGTGATTGCGAAAACTATAAAGGTGTTGTGCATCTGCCTCGATCTGCATTGGGATTGGAATAAAACGTTCTACACGAAAGAATTCTACTTGGATGGGAAGAACTTTTGAAGAGCCTACGCTGTGATCTTTTATATCGTCAGAATCGCCTCCGTTATCCTCTGTGGGAGTCGGTTGACAAGAAGAAAATAGTGAGAGGGGCAGTTCTACAAGCCTCCCTCCTTTACCGTTTTTTATTCTACGCTCATCACTCCCTGACAAAACGAGCGGTTCCCATTCCACAGGGAGCTGGTGCCCAAAGACGCGCAGGAGTACTGGGACACCAATCTTTAAAATGGCCGGTAGGACATTTACCACTAAGCTTGTTTCCCTAGCTGCCTCTTCTATCCAAGCCAATATAGACGCCGTGGCGCCAATACCCTGGCAGTTTCTCAGAAGGTTGTCGTTCGTTCCATCGATCAGCACGGCCAAGCGACGACGTGGATCTGTAAGGTTTACTGAGGGGTATGGGAAGCGGTCTTTAGTTGGCCCTTGACTGAGGCTAGAACTCTGAACACTGTCCTTCAAATTTGAACAAGAACTGCGAGGTGTGGAAAAGGTATTCAATTCACTTGATCTTGGGCTATGGTTGATGGAACTGTAATGATCAGAATGTAGAAAAGAAGCATCATTTGGATGTTCATCCGGATGTGTAATAGTGGAAAAATTGCGCACATTTGTAGTGGGAACCTTTGCCAAGAGCACAGATGAAAGAGGTCTGGCGGTTCGCCGCTGAAATAAACGGTTAAAAGAAAACATATATAGGTATATATATATATATATATATATATATATGTGTGTGTGTGTGTGTGTTTATTCTGTAAAATTAAAGTGGAATAATTTATGATAAATCTTTTAATAGTCGTCAATGGAATTATGTTGCTAAAGTTCTTTTCACACTGTATGGTTCGTAGCGGATGCCTAATATTGAGATTTATACTTTCCGTTACTATCTTAACAAGGATAATTTTTTGTGTGGAAATAAGCCACTGACTTTTTTTTAAGGTCGTGTGAGAAATAAGGTGAGAAGGAACGGCTAAGAAAAAAAGGACTAGCAGAACAAAAAATGAGGAAGATGACATTCTAATTTTTCTTATACCAGCTACATAAACTTCCAACCTTATTTAATGGAATAATATTAAC